ACTGCACTTCAGCCTGGGTGACAGAGGGAGACTCTCTCTCAAAAAAGAACAAAATATATTTTCATATTTACAGAAGGATCAATTTGCAATAGTGCAGCATCATTAGTAGTTGACATAATGAGAGACATAATAATAAGTATACCACTCAGTTAAGAAGGATAATGTTAATGAGTTCAAATGCTCACAGTAGAGAGGCTTCACTGAGGCCCATGTTGAAGCCCAGTTGGGCCAGAAACTCTTGGAATGTTTCATATTCTCTATTTCTTGGCCTTTCCCCCCACCCTTTTTTGAGATGGAGTTTCACTCTTGTTGCCCAGGTTGGAGTACAATGGCGTGATCCCGGTTCACTGTAGCCTCTGCCTCCTGGGTTCAAGCGATTCTCCTGCCTCAACCTCCTGAGTAGCTAGGATTACAGGTGCCCGCTACCATGCCTGGCTAATTTTTTGGGTATTAGGACAGATGGGGTTTCACCATGTTGGCCAGACTATTCTCGAACTCCTGGCCTCAGGTGATTGGCCTGCCTCGGCCTCCCAAAGTGATCATAGGCTTGAGCCACTGTACCCACCCCCCTTGGCTTTTTCTGTTGGTTTCCAAGAATTACTCCCCAGCATGGAATTTCTGAGGCAGGATCGATCCTAAGCCAGAGAGCAAGGGCAAGCATGAGGGAAGCCCAGGGCCTCACTGGGGCAGGGAAAGACTGGGAACAGTCCTTGGAACAGATAAAGTACAGTACCGCTGGGCGCAGTGGCTCACGCCTGTAATTCTAGCATTTTGGGAGGCCGAGGTGGGTGGATCAGGAGTTCAAGACCAGCCTGGCCATCATGGTGAAACACCATCATAAAAAAAAAAAAGTACAGTACCAAAAAAAGAACAGAGTCAGCTACTTGGGGGGCTGAGGGGAAAGAACTGCTTGAGTCTAGGAGTTTGGGACCAGCCTCAGCAATACAACAAGACCTGGTCTCTAAAAAGAAGGAATGGAGGCTGGGCACAGTGGCTCACGCCTGTAATCTTAGCACTGAGAGGCCGAGGTGGGCGGATCACCTGAGGTCAGGAGTTGGAGACCAGCCTGGCCAACATGGCAAAACTCCACCTCTACTGAAAATACAAATATTAGTGTGTGGTGGGACGTGCTTGTAATCCTAGCTACTCATGAGGCTGAGGCAGGAGAATCACTTGAACCTGGGAGGCGGAGGCTGCAGTGAACCGAGATCGCACCATTGCACTCCAGCTTGGGCAACGAAAGTGAAACTCTATCTCAGAAAAAAAAAGAAAGAATAGAAATAAAAACTTTTCCACCTGTAGGATCATTTCCTTCAGGACACTAAGTGAAGAGTGTCTTGATAGATATTGTAAACTTGGTGTAGTGGGTTAAATTATATACCTCAAAAAGGTATGTCCAAGTTCTAACTCCTGGTACTTGTCAATGTAGACTTACCTGGAAATAAGGTCTTTGCAGATGTAATTATTCTTTTTCTTTTTCTGGAATGGAGTCTCGCTCTGTTGCCCAGGCTGGAGTGTAGTAGCACGATCTCAGCTCACTGCAACCTCTGCCTCCGGGGTTCAAGCGATTCTCCTGCCTCAACCCCCTGAATAGCTGGGACTACAGGCACGCGCCACCACACCCAGCTAATTTTTATATTTTTAGTAGTGACGGGGTTTCGCCACGTTGGCCGGGGTGGTCTTGAACACATGACTTAAGGTGATCTGCCCGCCTTGGCCTCCCAGAGTGCTGGGATTACAAGCATGAGCCAACACGCCGGCTGCAGATGTATTTAAGGATCTCAATATGAAATTATCCTGGATTTCAGATGGGCCTATATCCAATGACAGGTGTCCTTATAAGATACAAAAAAGTAGATATACAGAGATGCAGGGGAAAGTCATTTGAAGACAGAGGTAGAGATTAGAGTGATGCATCTGCAAGTCAAGGAATGTTAAGGACTCTTACAGACGCTAGCAACTAAGAGAGAGGAAAGGAACAGATTTTCTCAGACCCTTCAGAAAGAACCAAGCCTGCCAACACTCTGATTTTGGACTTCTAGAACCATGAGAGAATAAATTTCTGCTGTTTTGAATCACCAAATTTATAGTTGTTATGGCAGCCATAGGAAACTAATACAATGGGTACAATGGGGTTTAGAACCTTCCAATTTCCAATCTCAGCAGGACTCCTTCATTTTAGTCCTGGGTTAATTCTTAGAAGGTGATCATCTATTTTAAGATTTTTTTTTTCTTTTTTTTTTTTTTTTGAGACCTTGTTTCGCTCGTTACCCAGGCTGGAGTGCAATGGCACGATCTCGGCTCACCACAACCTCCGCCTCCTGGGTTCAAGCAATTCTCCTGCCTCAGCCTCCTGAGTAGCTGGGATTACAGGCACGCGTCACCATGCCCAGCTTATTTTTTGTATTTTTAGTAGAGACAGGGTTTCACCATGTTGACCAGGATGGTCTCGGTCTCTTGACCTCGTGATCCACCCACCTCGGCCTCCCAAAGTGCTGGGATTATAGGCTTGAGCCACCATGCCCGGCCAGATTTTTTTTTCTTAAGTCCATTTTCTGTTACTATAACACTCTTTTATGTTTTGATGATACCACCAGTGTTGGACTCCAAATCAGGAAGAAAGTGTGAAAGCAAGATGGTAAGGTTACCTAGGAAGATGCTGACTCAATCAACTTCCAGGAGCAACAACATGACTCCTGAGCAGTTTCCCAACACCAGCCTTTTTTTTTTTGAGACAGAGTGTTGCTTTGTCGCCAGGCTGGAGTGCAAAGGTGTGATTTCAACTCACTGCAACTTCCACTTCCTGGGTTCAAGCGATTCTCCTGTCTCAGCCTCCCGAGTAGCTGGGACTACAGACGTGCGCCACCACACCCGGCTAACTTTTTATATTTTAGTAGAGACAGAGTTTCACCATGTTGTCTAGGATGGTCTCAATCTCTTGATCTCCTGACCTTGTGATCCACCCACCTCGGCCTCCCAAAGTGCTGGGATTATAGGCGTGAGCCACTGCGCCCAGCCTTTTTTCTGTGACATTTTATTCAAACTACACTAGAGCCCTGCATCCAACCAACAGTACGGGCTGAATGACACCTTTTATCCTAGAGGGCACTAGTCTCTGGGATATACAGACACTCTTCAATCAGTTCTCAGATGATTCTGCCTCTAGAAGCAGCAGAAACTAGAGATAATCATGTCTTGGCTTACTTGAAGTTGTGTGCTCATTCCAAAATCTGCCTTGCTTATTCTAAGTCCAGATGTCACTGGACTTTGAGGTCATTAGGCAGCATCCAGTCTTTGAAGCAAACCATTTCAAGTTTTTGACTCTGCTTCCCTGTCAATGTTAGCCAGAGGAACTCTTCTCCCTGCCTTGGAGCTGGCTGGTCATGGGTCTACTCTGGCTCCACACCTGGCCTACCACACCACATGATTAATTCCTTCCTGTGTGCCTCTGGCCCAGGCTTGCAAGAGAATACACTCAGAGCAGCTCTACTTATTCCTGTCCATCAGCTGCTGGTTGAGTACTGGCACTGCACATACCTGCTCCACAGAATCTTAAACCTTCAGGAGTCTACCTGCTCACAGGTCCTGGGTTCCTACAGGCCTTCTTCATCAAGGGTGGGGCCACAGCTTTGCCCCAAGAGGGCAACCTGCCTCCTTGTTCCTTCACTGGCTTGAGACTCCTAGGCTGTCTGAACTAGCTGACAGGCCAGAAGTCTTAGGATGAAAAGAATACAAAAAAAAAAAAAAAAAGAAAAGAAAAGAATACTAGAGTCGTCCTCAAAGTTAGAACTTTTGTTGGTGTCTGTGAAAGTTAGAACTTTTGTTGGTGTCTGTGTTCCCTCACTCCTATTACCTACCTTGTTCCTTCCCTACCTACATTAGTGATTTTGTGATTTCACTGAAGAATTGACCTTAGGCAGGGTCTTGCTCTGTCGCCTGGGCTGGAATGTAGTGGTGCGATCTCAGTTCACTGCAGCCTCGAACTCTTAGGCTCAAGCAATCCTCTTGCCTCAGTTTCCCATGTAGCTGGGGCTACAGGCGCGCACCACCATGCCCAACTAGTTTTAAAATTTTTTGTAGAGACAAGGTTTCCCGATGTTCCCCAAGCGGGTCTAGAACCCCTGGGCTCAAGCGATCCTTGCGCCTTGGCCTCCCAAAGGGTTGAGATTACAGGTGTGACCCACCATGCCTGACCCGACCTTCTGTAAATACTCCCAACTAATTGTCCAAACGGACTGGAACAAAAGAATCTCCTTCCCAATACTGCGAGACAGGGCAAAATTCTTCAAATTTATGTTTGAGGCCATAAACCAACAGCAGTAAAACGAAACCCTCAGGAAGCAATGACAAGAAACCCAGGAACACTCATTTCCTCCAGCCCAAGTGGCAGATGGGATCTCAAATACACCATGGTGTGATGCGTAACACGCTGTTTGCTGGGGATGTGGAGCATTTCAAGTGCCCCGCAGAGGTGCGCCTGGGGCACTCCTCCCAGACACCCCTCCCCACAAACACCCGTCCCCAGGCAACATTCCTGGGGAGCCTGGACCTCCCTTGGTGGACCGGCTCCAGAGGGTCTCTAAGGTTTTTCATCTTATCTCTGGGTGAACTGAAGGCAGGGGAAGAGGCGGCCCCCACACCCTGGGTCCCCAAGACCCCGTCCGGGCTGAGAGTAAGAGACGCCGCCCGGAATCCACTCATCAAGCAGCTCCGCCGGCTTGGTAAGGGGTGGTCGTTCAGGTCTGGGTCATTGCCACTGGCTCCCCCTCCGCCCATTCTTGCTTCCTGGACTCAAGAGCTGCTGAACTATCGGCACGTCGGCAATGGACTCCTTAGGCTGGCTCTTGCACAGCGAAGGCGGGAGGAGGGCTCTGGGCTGCTGCCCCTGCCTTAGCCTCGCGCTTCCGGCGGGGTCGCCGCACTTCCGCTCGAGCGCGCCTCGCGCTGTGCGCGCGCGGACCCAAGGAAGGATCGGGTGCGCGGTCCGGGAGACACCGCCGTCTCCTCAAATCAGCCGGGCCTCCAGCCGCCGCCGATACCTGCCGAGGCCTGCGGCGCGCCACCCTCACCTCCTTCATTCCTACCGTCCACGCCAGCCTTGGCGACCTGACCCGCTTGTGGTCTCGAACTCGGTTAGTCCGGTGAAGGGACAGAGAAGCCTGGGTTCCCGGCGGCATCACTGAGATGCTCAGTCCTGAATTCTACCCTCCATTAGGACTATCTGCTTTGTGGGATAATTTCCTGTTTGGTTGAGTCAGTGAGTTGCGTGTCTACAGAGAGCATCCTGTCTGGTGGGTCTTCATCTAGATCTTGCACATTTCTTACTAAGTTAATCCTAAGAATATCTTAAAGATAAAACTGAGCTGCAAAGAAGTGTAAAAACAGTAGAAACAGGAGATAGCAGTACAAAGAGAAAAAAACAGCCTGACTTTCCTCTATTTTTAATTGATTTGGGGACATTTTAAACTTACAGATAGAAAAGAAACATGGGTTTTGTTGACATATCTCAAAACAAAATGGGTGTTAACACCTTTAAAATGTAAACTATTATGCTGCATATATTTGTATTATTCTGAAGTCATTTAAAATAATGGCATGAAGTATTTATTGCCTGCTGTTTTTTGGCAGTAGTTTCTTTAAGGGCTAGTATTCAAGCAAAGGCATACTGAGGAAATAGGAAAAAAGAAGGAATGCTGTAACAGGAAAAAAGGAAAAGGAAGAGCAGATGAAAAGGGCAGGAAAAGTTTAACATTTACATAACATTTGCTATGCACCAGATGGTTTTAAGCTCTTTTTTTTTTTTTTTTGAGACGGAGTTTCGCTCTTGTTACCCAGACTGGAGGGCAATGGCACGATCTCGGCTCACCGCAACCTCCGCCTCCTGGGTTCAAGCAATTCTCCTCTCTCAGCCTCCCGAGTAGCTGGGACTACAGGCGTGCATCACTATGCCCAGCTAATTTTTCTATTTTTAGTAGAGACGGTGTTTCACCATGTTGACCAGGATGGTCTCGATCTCTTGACCTCATGATCCACCCGCCTCGGCCTCCCAAAGTGCTGGGATTACAGGGGTGAGCCACCGTGCCCAGCCGGTTTTAAGCTCCTTAAATGTATTATCTAGTTCTCACCACAGCCCTGTGAAATGGGTGTACTGTTATCACCTCTGGTTTACAGAGAAGGCAAGTGAGGTCTAGAGAGGTTAAGCAGCTGGCCCAAGGTTATACAGTAAGTGGCAAAACCTTTGCTTGAACACATCAATTTTGACTCAGAGTCTGAATTCTCTCCCTTCAGCCTCCTGAGTAGCTGGGACCACAGGCACGTACCATCTTGCTCACCTAGGCTATTTTTTTTTGGTATTTTTTTTGTAGTGACAGGGTTTAACCATGTTGCCCAGGCTGGTCTCAAATTCCTGGGCTCAAGGGGTCTGCCTCAACCTTCCGAAGTGTTGGGATTACAGGCGTGAGCCACTGTGCCTGGTCCTAGAGTCTATGCCTATTATTATTTTCTAAAATATTTATTTATTTTTTGAGATAGAGTCTTGCTCTGTTGCCCAGGCTGGAGGGCAGTGGCGTGATCTCAGCTCACTGCAATCCCCACCTTCTGGGTTCAAGCCATTCTTGTGCCTCAGCCTCTCAGGTAGCTGGGATTACAGGTGTGCACCACCATGCCCAGCTAATTTTTGTATTTTTAGTAGAGAAGGGATTTCATCATGTTGGCTAGGCTGGTCTACAACCCCTGACCTCAGGTGATCCACCTGCCTCAGCCTCCCAAAATGCTGCGATTACAGGAGTGAGCCACCATGCCTGGCCTGTGCTTCTAATCACCACACTGTATTTCCTCTGAAGGAAGGGTAAGACTCAAATCAACTGGATTTGATGCTACTGAATAGGAGTAGAGAAGAGAGGTTTGCAAGTTAATTATTCTTCCATGTGAGAGTATGGGCTAAAGGTTTCATAGGACAAAAATACCATGAATAAAGTTCAAAAAGAGGAAATATATACAGTGCACAAATAATTGACGTCTGGAACAGGCAGTGAAAAAAATATATGTAAGAAAAAGACAACCGTTCTTTGCAAATCAATCAGTGAATCTTCTGTGGAAATGGAATAAAAAAAAAAGAAAAAGACAACCCTATAGAGAAATGGGCAAATGTATAAATAGACAATAGATGAAGAAGTAAGGATGAAATAAAACTGACCACATAAAAAAACATGTTTAAAAAAAAAAAAAACAACAGATGCTTAATTGCACTAGTGACCCTGGCATGCAAAGCAAAACAATAGAACCATTATCTCCCACACTGGCTAAAACTGAAATTTGAAAATATCAATTTTGTGGAAAAGTGAATATTCTTAGTAGAAGTATAAATCAGGATAGTCACAGATAGGGGTAGGGGTAGATTTGGTAGTATTAATTCAAGTTAAAATATTAAAATTAAGTAATCTTCAAAATAATGCTGATTATAATGAAAAACATTGCTTCAGACATTCTGATTTCACTTTTTTATTCTACAGATAAACAGGTGTTCAAAAAGAGGTATGCAAGATATTTAACTGGAAACATTTTTTGCATAATAGTTTAAAATTAGGCCAGGCACGGTGGCTCAAGCCTGTAATCTCAGCACTTTGGGAGGCCGAGGCGGGTGGATCACGAGGTCAAGAGATCAGGACCATCCTGGTCAACATGGTGAAACCCCGTCTTTACTAAAAATACAAAAAATTAGCTGGGCATGGTGGCGTGTGCCTGTAATCCCAGCTACTCAGGAGGCTGAGGCGGGAGAATTGCCTGAAGCCTGGAGACGGAGGTTGCGGTGAGCCGAGATCGTGCCATTGCACTCCAGCCTGGGTAACAAGAGTGAAACTCCCTCTCAAAAAAAACAAAACTTTAAAATTAGAAAAATATAATTTCAGCAGGTACATAAACTATGGTAATGATTGACTTATTTGCTAAACAAATATTTGTTGATTACTTACTGGGTATGAGGCATTATTCTGAACATCGAGGATAAGTTGACAGTTATCATTGTGAACTAAAGAAAGTTCATCTTTAGGGTGGGTCAGTGGCTAATTAACCTTCCCCAGTTCAGATCCTTCCCCTTAATTCTTTGTTACATCTTGATAGAATGATTTCAACTTGTTCTGTAAATCATATTGGACTCCTCTCTAATAACTACAGAAACAAATTTTTTAATTTATTTTTATTTTATTTATTTATTTATTTTGAGACGGAGTTTCGCTTTGTACCCAGACTGGAGTGCAATGGCATGATCTCGGCTCACCGCAACCTCCGCCTCCTGGGTTCAAGCAATTCTCCTGCTTTCGCCTCCCAAGTGGCTGGAACTACAGTTGTGCACCACCATGCCCAGCTAATTTTTTTTTTTTTTTTTGAGACGGAGTTTTGCTCTTGTTACCCAGACTGGAGTGCAATGGCACGATCTCGGCTCACCTCAACCTCTGCCTTCTGGGTTCAAGCAATTCTCCTGCCTCAGCCTCCCGAGTAGCTGGGACCACAGGCACGCACCACCATGCCCAGCGACTTTTTGTATTTTTAGTAGAGAGGGGGTTTCACCTTGTTGACCAGGATGGTCTCGATCTCTTGACCTCGTGATCCACCCGCCTTGGCCTCCCAAAGTGTTGGGATTATAGGCGTGAGCCACCACGCCCGGCCTTTTTTTTTTAAAAGACGGGGTTTCACCATGTTGGTCAGGCTGGTCTTGAACTCCTGACCTCAGGTGATCTGCCTGCCTTGGCTTCCAAAGTACTTGGATTACAGGCGTGAGCCACTATGCCCGGCCCCAGAATTTTTTTTTTTTTTGATCTATACCCTAATTTGAAAGTATAAAGGCACAATAGCGGACTCTAAAGTAGGAATGAAGAAAGCTGGAAAGGAGTGATCCATGCTGATACTGACCATCAAGAAAAGCTTGAAGAGATGTCCCAAATATCCTGATGACTTACTTTTCACTGAAATGCAAATAAATTGACATCTTAGATATGCTTCCAAAGATTGTGCCCTACTCCCTGAACAGCTTTTAATGAAGGCAGAATTATAGCAAGAGAAACTGCCAGTTAAGTGATTAAAAAAAAAGATTTCCAGGGGCTTGTTTCTTATTATGTTTATATGGTAAATGCCTAGTTAGGACAAAGAGCTTGATTATGGTTTGCTCATATTATCCTTGGGTGAAGAGATTCAATTACAAAAGAGATTGATGCCTCAACCATAGCGAAAACCTTGTCAAGCTCTTAACTTAGACCATAACATACTTGTTTAAAAGTGGAGAAGGGGACAATAGAGGAAACAACATGACAAGGAGTTTATAAATCTAAAGGATGACTTTCTTGCTGCATCTAACTATTATGTGACTGCTTCTGCACTCTCTTTGATCTATCCTTTGCTTTCTGAATGTAAATATTTTTGTTCTAAAAATTGGGTACCAGGCTGGACAAGGTGGCTCATGTCTGTAATCCCAGCACTTTGGGAGGCTGAGGCAGGCAGATTGCTTGAGGCTAGGAGTTCGAGACCAGCCTGGTCAACATGGCGAAACCCCACCTCTACTAAAATTACAAAAATTAGCCAGGTGTGGTGTCGGTGCCTGTAATCCCAGCTACTCAGTAGGCTGAGGCAGGAGAATCGCTTGAATTTGGGAGGCAGAGGTTTCAGTGAGCAGAGATCGCGCCATTGCACTCCAGCCTAGGTGATAGAGCCAGACTCTGTCTCAAAAAAAAATTGGATACCAGATCTGCTCCTCTCAATGGGAACTAAGAAGAACCCCAATGTCCTTCTTCCAGCTGAGTTAAAATATTGGATTTAGCCAGGTGTGGTAGTGCGTGGCTGTAGTCCTGGTTATTCAGGAAACTAGGGCAGGAAGATTGCTGGAGCCCAGGAACTCCAGGCTAGTGCACTATGACTGCACCTGTGAATAGCTACTGTACTCCAGCTTAGGCAACATAGCAGAACTGGTCTCTTAAAAAAGCATATTGGTTGGCCGGGCGCGGTGGCTCAAGCCTGTAATCCCAGCACTTTGGGAGGCCGAGGCGGGTGGATCACGAGGTCAAGATATCGAGACCATCCTGGTCAACATGGTGAAACCCCGTCTCTACTAAAGATACAAAAAATTAGCTGGGCATGGTGGTGC